AATTTTATATTTTTATTTTAAAGAAGATTATGTGAATTTTAAATATTGTTAAATATAAGCAACGAACGCTAGTTTTCAATAATTTCTATTCAAAGATATTTTAACTCGAATTTATTATGCAATCAAAATAACGACAGACTCCAGGAGTCTTAGATATAGAAGAATGAAGAAGAATACTTTTTAAACTTTTTGCATTTTTTATTGAGGAACAATCGACATACAAAGAATATTTGCATACTGAATATTTATCAACGTTATGATTAGACCACAAATTTTTATACCTTTGTAGAAAATCTTAAGTGTAAAATTACACAAAATGCACATAATTCATATTATATATTTGTATTGTTATAATAAATAATTCATATTATTCATATTGTCATGTAATACGTATATAAAATATTCAAGGCATTGTGGACAACAAATTAATTTTTTATCGAGAAAATTTTCCATTTCATTAATTATATTTTCAAAAACACAAATTTGACAAGTAAAAGTTCATTATATCATACATTGTTATGAACTCTATTAACGATTATATTATCTGCTCTGTTTATTTTATTTTCACCAGTAAGAGATGTTATTTTTTAATATTGTTGATCTTTCAATATAAAACATTTATACGTAAAACCTTTTATCGCATATAACACATTCACTAAGGTCAGATACAACGTACGCATTTACTACCAACGTTATTCAACACGTTCGACGAATTGATAAACCAGTTAATTTTTTCAATTTCATCTCTAATCTCTTTGGATACACGTTTTTGTTCATAACAAAATCTATTCAAATGTATTCAACTAGTTTACGCAAATTCCACGAAATACAGAACGATTGTCGATTAAATCTTGATGTGAACGCGTACTGTGTTTCCTGGCTAACGATACTAACTAATCACACTTCTCTCAGCACTGCACAACGCAAATACAACTTATTGTAACGAAATTGCGATTGGCTGATATTGTAACGAAGCGTTAAACGAATATGATTTCGCTTGAAAACGACATTACAGTGTGCACGAACGCGTGCAACTGGAATTCCCACGGAAAAACCGAAAATATGAGGTTTTAATGGTAGTAGACGAATACAGTCGTAGAAGAAGAGGTGGCATTACATAATTGCCTTGATGTAGTGCGTGTATAAAGATCGATGGCTATAAAAGCAGTAAGATGAAAGATCCGATGCACAGTGTGATCTGAGAGTTACCAGCTCTCAACAATGGGTCGCGAAAAGATTAAGAGTTTTAGGGCCTTGCTTCTACTTTTGGCTATCACAGCCCTTTCGGCTGCTCCAGCTAAAGGTAAGAAAATAATGCACATTCATGTATGCAAATTTTTTTCGTCCATTTGCATCGCGATTTAAATTGTAACACTAACCATATTTAATTTATCAAATTATTTATAATTTGCTTATTTTTTATTGACGACGAAATATTAAAAATATCGGAAATTGAGTATAAGTCATAATAAATAGGCTGGACAATTGTACGAAAAAAAAAAAAAAAATGACGGAAAAACGTGAAATAAAATTTTTTCAGACAAGACTTTGTTTTCGAGAAAATCAAGTTCAATTATATAATTATCAATTATGCTTAAATATAAGTAATTGAAACTTTTTATTTGCGGAGATCAAGTCAATATAGAGTAGAAATTTTTCGTACGATATTTGGCTTTCAAGAAAATTCGATTTAAAAATTTATTAAATATATGTTTAATAAGCCAATCCTTAATTCATCAAAAACATCTTCAGAACCTATTTTCTTTCTGAAATGAGATTTTAAAACCAAAAATTAGAATAATCTACTAACGATTATACTTCATTATAATTCAGAATCAACTAGATTCGAATGATATAGTTAATATATTTTCAAGCCCTCGAAAACAAAGCAAAATTTTATTCCATTTTTATATCAATAAATAATAAACATAGAATAAATATTAATAAATACAGAGTTATATTATAATATATATTTATACATACAGAATTCTTAATTGGTTACTGCGGACTATTCTGTGTTTAGCGATCCAGAGAAAACATTAGTCACGGAATATTCCATTTCGTGATGCAAATTTTTTAATTAATTTACATAATCTATCTGTAGAAGATATGTATTAGATTGATGTATATCAAATGTCGTTTTATACATTCAAACTTTAATTGTATATAGTTTCTTCATAATATGACAGATATTTAATCTTAAGTACTAATCTTCTCGAGACTATGTAAACAAAAAAGAATGCTATATATATTACAATAGATATTATTAGAGTATAGAAAGTTTTTAAATATTTAATTTTAGTATTCAGTGTAATTTTACTAATTTTTATATATTATTTTCCAAACAAAAAAAAAGAAATGCCAGATATCATTAGTCGCAAGCAAATCACTTATTTATATAATATTAATAATTACATAAAATCGAATTGCTATTAATATTACTATCTATTGATGTTTGATATATGCAATAATATGCTTTTGGTTTAGGTTAGGTTTACTTTACACATGATCATATAAATAAAATAATTATTTAACTAATTTCATTCGTTTAGAAACTACACTAATATATCAATTATGACAAATTATAAATTAAAATTTATTTTTTGTGCAGTTCTTAATTAATTTGATATTTATTAATGTTGTTTATATATAAATATATAATTTATATTAATATTTATATATAAATAAATTACATATAATTTATATTAATATATAAATAAATGAATTATAACTTATATTAATATTTATATAAAAATATATAATTTTTAAGAAAATGTTTAGATTAATATGTAAAAATCAATGTATCAAGTACTGCATATAAAATACAAAGTAAAAAAATATCCAAAATTTAATTGATCTAAAACAAATATTTATAGATGATTTACGAATTAATAAATTCTTTTGTAATAAACTTTTAGAAGAAGTAACTACCATACCTTTCAATGAAGAAGAACGTACTTTATCAACCGACTTAGTACCTCCTCCTTATCCACAAAAAGAGGAACACCAATATATGGTTTTCGTTATCAATCTTTTTGGATTAAAAAATGCTAGCGGCGAAACTTCCAATGAAATGTTTGAAAATGATGTCATCAAAAACGTGCCAGAATTAACAGGTGAGTAAAAGCAAATTACATCCTGAAACATAAAAAAAAGGAGTAAAAGAGAAGCTTTAAAAGTATAATTGAAAATTATTAAATAAAATAGTTTAATATTAATATTAAAAAAAATGCTGTATATTTAATTTTAAAAATGTTAAAAATATATCGTATATCAAATCAAAATTTTAAGAATTTAAAATTGGTTTCATATATCTTATTAAGTTTTATTCTTTGAACTTTAAAGTGTGTTAAATTATAACTATAGTGATGCATTCAGATATGAAAAATTGGAATATGCAAAAATGCACGCAATCTGTATAATATACAAACGCATACAAAACATGTATAGTAGGACATTCATTATAACATTTTATGCAAATAAATTTTAAGAATTATGCTCAGATTTGGCTGAAATTTTGAAACAGATTGTCTTGATAACTGAAAAGTTAAGACCCAAAATTTTGTGAAACAAAACAGTTTTATCACTCTATTATTATTCTCTCTATTATCGACATAGCATAAAATAAAAGAATGCTTGTATCGCAGAGTGAATCGTCATCAGAGCTGGTCTAAATAATCCTGGATATTTTGTATAACGGGAATATACGCAAAAAATATTTTCGATATAATTATGTTAAAAATATTCTAAGTATTAGCTTAAATATTATTTGACGTAAATATTGTTTCTACGTAAGGTTACTCTATTTTCAAATTTAGCTAAATCGAAGCATGGACGTTTTTGGAAATTTTGTCTAAATTTCCATTTAGGTTCCATTTCTTCACTTATATTCATACAAATTCAGAAATGCATATAAAAATTTAAATAAAAAAGTTTAAATAATTACATTACTCTGTATCTTACATGATATGTTTTAATGATTAAAGATAAATTAAGTTTCTTGCTCACTCTACTAAAAACATTAGTAAGCTGATTTACATCATTGTGATTCTCAATGTCAATCACGCAAGATAAAAATAATCAAAGTATCATACATGAGTATCAGAAACAAAACAATCGCAATGAATTAATCAGAATTTAATTAAAACAGATCCACTGGCAACTGTGTTATTAATTATCGAAGTCGACGACAATGAAGAGGACACTGGTGCATCGGTGGATCTCGACAAATTTGCAGACGAATTAAGAGACATCGAAGGTTTCAATGTTGAGAAGATCAATCACAGTGGTGAAACAAAAGTTCTCAGAGTGAAGCTCGACAAGGAAGACGCAAAGAGTGTATTCCCATCGAAAGAGAAGTTGGACAAATTACAGAAAATTCGTAACAAGAGATCAACGTGCCTCAAGTGTAGTGGAGGCGGATATCCTGGCGGTGGAGGCGGATATCCTGGCGGTGGAGGTGGATATCCTAGCGGTGGTGGTGGATTCGGAGGCGGCGGTGGATTCGGAGGTGGTGGCGGATTCGGAGGTGGCGGTGGATTCGGCGGTGGACTAGGAGGTGGTGGAGGACTAGGAGGTGGTGGTGGACTAGGAGGTGGTGGACTTGGTGGACTTGGTGGACTTGGTGGACATGGTGGACACAAAGGATACAATAAAGGAGGAGGAGGAGGATATCCTGGTGGATATGGTGGATATGGAGGTCATCCCATCGATGGTGAGAATACAATTTTACGAATAAAATTATCTTAATGCAATTTTAATTTCTTAAGCAACGATTACTTATGTAGATGTAGCGTTTCATTTAACACGTTCATTAACACCTTAATTTAATCTCACATTACTCAAACTTGTACGTAAACTATTTGAAATTTGTATGGTATTAAGCAGGTTGTCCAATGTAGTAATCAATTTCTTAATCTTTTCTCCTCTTTTCTCAAGACGTAAATGTTAGTCTTTTCTTAAATATAATGTGTATTTACATTAGCCTTAAATACGTGTGTAATAAAATTGTTGAAATTTTGAACCTATGTGGTTCAATAAGTTTGCAAAGTTAAATACTTTATATTTTATTCGGAATATTCAAGATGATATTCGCATCGAAAAGCAAAATAAGAAAAAATTAACCACCACATTATACGAGCGTTCTAATACCAAACAATTTTTGTATAAAACATTGTTTATACATATAGTAAGTAGAGTAGGGTAAAGTTATTACATTCTGTAAAGTGTAATTAAAAATGAGATGTTAATGTTTCATTTCAGTTTTTCAATAAAATTATTGTAATGTGAAAAAATTATATAAATATTAGCTCTATTATTTGTTACTGTAAATATTAAACATTGGTACAAAATCATTGCTTTAAGAAAGATACAAAAAATAATCTAATAATTTGAATGTGTGTTTGAACGTGTTGAAGCAAAATATTAAACATAACAAATTAATAGTAATAAACAATAATATAGACAAGCTTTAATTATTTGGAATTTAGCAGGCTTATAATTTGGCAACTTATTAAATAAATATTTAATACAATTGCGTTAATACTAATACTTCAGAATTTTATGCATGCGACTTATTACGTATTAACAAGAATGCAATTATATTATATTATGCTGCTATTATGCTATAATGATAAATTATTAATGAAAGCATGAGGCATATCGTATACTATATATTTTATATCATTCTGAATGCTATTAAAAAAAGGTATTAAAAACAGTGTATTGCCGCTTCCGCTTCTAACATTGGCTTATTTTTGTAGGGTATCGAACAAAAGTTATACCCGTTATTGTTATACCAGTTACAGGCGGCGGATATCCATCAGGTGGTGGCGGTTGCAGCACATGGTATGTATTCAAATTTTTTCTTAAAATATGATAAATTATGTGTCGAACAACAAAGAGACTTCATAATAAGCATTTCACTAGTCAAGTTTATTTATTTAAGTTACTGAATTTCGTAATACTACAATTTTTGCTTATTTCACTGGTGTATTTATTAATCTTTTAAGTGCTTAAAATTATCAAAAACCTAATGAACAAACAGCATATAACAAATTAAGAATGCACTCATTCTTAAACATACACTTTTTGGTATATTTATTCAATTATTATAATATGTTATCCTCTTTGAATTTCTAGTAAGTAAGTCTAGAAAGTAAGTCAAGTATTTTATTATTAATTATAAGATTATTTGTATAATACTCTATACTAACTATATAGTAGAGTATTATCCAGAGAACTAAACATTCAAAGCTTTAAACGATATCGACTGTTCATTTAATATTACTTTTACTTTTTTTATTGTTAAAAATTTATAACAAAGTGAAATGGACTTCCTAAATTATATATAGACTAGAGATTAAAATTAGACTAAATTTTCATATAGGATCACTCAGAGTTTAACAGTTGAACTTCTTTAGTAGCATAGAACAGATATAATCAAATAAAAAATATTATGCGAATATAAATCATTTAAAGATTTATAAAAAAAATTTATAAAATAATACCTAAATTGATCCAAACTTAAAAACTTTTACAAATGCCCAATTTGTTGTGAATTATTACTATTTTTAGTTGAGTTGACATTCGTAAACATAGACAAGATTTTTAAGACTCAAAAGAGAAAGCTATTTCAATATTTAAAAAGCTGCAAACGTGAATTTTCCATAATTTAGCAGGAACATAATTTCACTAAATCAAGATGACACTTTTTTAATCTTCGGACAAGGTCATTTGAATATAAAAAAAAAATAATTATTCAATTATAAAATAAATATTTATAGTATATATAATATTATAAATATAATATAATATATAATATAATATATACAATATAATAAAATTTCTAAAAACGCAACATTATAAATTTGCAAATTCTACTCTATAAAATTTTAAAGTTAATCACTTTAAGCACTTTGGCAGTTCGAATATTAATACGATTGATATAGTTAATATACTTTGAAACTTGCAACTTTTTAAGAAATTTAAATTCAATCTTAACTAAATCGAACGTGACTCACTCGTTGTCAATTCGAACTAAAATATCTTTATAAGAGGAACAACGTTCAATAATAAAAATATCAATCTTAAAAAAGACTATATTGTCAACGCTAATTAAATTATAATAAAATAAAATTAAACTGTATATATTCGAAATATTTGAAATAACAGTTTGTTTCTCTATATTACAGTGGTGGCGGTGGATACGGTGGAAATTCATATGCTTCAGCTTCAGCGAAAGCAAATTCCGGTTGGTACGTATAAAATTTTAATTATTTATTCAATCAACGTTCTGTAAGTTACATTAATTACGACTATAAAATGAAACACGTGAAATTGAATTATCGCAACGTGTTAATTTGCTGTTTTCAATTTTCTGCTTTCAGGGGGAAATAAACTCAATAGAATGTAACAACGAACATAATCTAAGTTATATGCTGCCTGATAATATTCGCAAGGAATTTTATAACGTGCATGCGCAATCGTATTTAATTTTAATTCGTTTCATATGATATAACGTTTGTCATCTTACGTGATCGCCGATTTACGTAACATGTATCAAATAAATGAGAAACTAGAAAACAGGTTTAATTTTAATAAAAGCTCAGGATTCATCTCGCATTCGTTATTCGAACGTAAGCGATTTCCAGGAAATAATAGCAGGTTCCATCCGTGATTGATGTCCATCGTTAGAAGGGGGGAAACAGCAACGCGTTAACAAGCATCATTTTACATGCTGTATGCATTGCACGTTGCTTTCAGTGCTCGTTCGTCTATTAATTTCTACAAGATACCTATATTTATGATAATCAGACAATCAATCATCATTATCGTGAAATTTTTAATTCAAGCTTGCGCCGACCTTGAAAAAAAAAAAAAAAAAAA